GAATATTTTATAATTCTAGAGCAACACAGCCTTTTTTCATAATTGCACAATACATTAGGCTTCAACCTCTTTTTTTGTGCACACAACTATTATGACTTTCTCTCTAGCAGTTCCAATTATTCTTTGAAAACTTCTTACGTCGGTTTCTGTTTTCGTATTTTTTATGTGTTACGCTCATATTAAAACTTTATTTGTTGTGAAATGGAGCTCAGTTTAAACAAAGGCCCATTGAGGTGTCGCATGCACCATTGCACTTCGAGCATGGTTCTCCCTTTTCGTAGATAGGATAATTGATCCAATTGCCACTGAACAACTCTTTTCAGTACAATGTTACAGTAACCTTATAGTAATCAAGAGACTTACGTTGGGCCGTAATTACATACAACCAAGCTCATGGTTGGGCATTTCTGAACAGCACATCCAAGTTTGATTGAGTTGTGCCAGACCATCTAAAAAAGGTTATTTGAGACCGCAAGTCCAAGACCAATTGCAAGTCCTCAAAAGCATTTTCAAGCTCAGCAGCATATAGACTCAAACATAAATCACGGATGCCTTAGATTTTTAGTTTTCAATTGATATGCGCATATTCTTAAGATTCTTAATTTCCGATTTCGGAGTTTTAGAGATAGTTAGCAAAAACAATGGGTAGCTTCTACTTTTAAAAGCTATGTAATTTCAACATTTTGAGAATGTGGCCTTTAATGAAATTATATGAGGATACCTGAGTATAATGTCCGATCATCATTCCTTGACGATTAGCCAGCGCCATAGTGAACACGTTCTCCTGTCCTACGCCGTATTTCTCCAATTCCGCAAACCATGCGTCAGCGGCCTAAAACATCCAATTTTAAGCTGCCTTTTAAGGTCAATGCAGCAAATACAATTGTAACTGACGTTTCCGGCCATTTTTGTTACATCATCAGTGGGTGGCATTCTCATGTAAAGATTTTCACCATTGTTCTCCCTTTCAGCGTTTGTGGAATGTGCGAAAACGCACTTAGCTGCATGTCTTGCAGCAATCTTCTCTATTTCGCAATCATATTTCTGAAAATCACTTCTGAATTTTATATTTTAGAGAGATCAATTATATTTACCATTTTGTACATGTTCGCAGCCTTAGGCGCGTTGCCTCCTAGCTTATCCGCAGCTTGTCCCTTTGCAACGAGAGATCTGAAATAAACAACAATCATGTATGAGGTAGACTCTGAAAAATTCGTAAAGATTATAATCTTCTCCTATGTGCATGTCTTAGTTTATGCTTTATGGTCCTTTTTTTAACAGCAGATAAGTCCCTGATTTCTAAGTTTTCGTGCTGAGGGTTAATCTAACCTACCTTAAAAGGGTGCTTTCATAGTTTTTGGCTATCTCTTCTTTGTTGTCGGATTATAAATCCAGTATATCTAATAAAAATCTAATGATGTTAGAATCCTTTACGACAGGCTACTGCTAACACGAGGATGGCATAAAGGTTCGAGTAAGACGGAAACGTGGAAACAGCAGGCAATAAAGATGCCACCTGAACCGGGTTTTGGCAAAGTACTTATGAACAAAGTCTGTGAGGTTTTTCAAAAAATGGCAGTATGGTTCACAAATTGAGAAGTATGGTTCACAAATTCACCCAAACAATGAATTTAATTTTAACAAAACTGAAAGAGGGCTTTTTTTCCCAAAAATTGGAAATTCGTGAGATCACGTTTTCATTGAGCAGCAGTATTTGAACGCATCGCGATGTAGTAATTACCTGCCTTTGAATAGACAATGCGTAATCTTATAGCTAAATCAAATAGGCATCATTTATAAATTTTGTATGCGCGCAGGTTCTCTCCAAAAG